GTGAACCCAGTCTACCTGGCTCTCCAGGAATAACCATGCCTGGATCACCCTGCAACACAGAGAGAAATGAAACAATCCATGTGTACTATGATTTGCAAATCTACCAAAATATTTTCTCCACTGTGTGATCAATTAACTTCTTTTATTAGGGTAATTTTCTCCATGCCCTGGGGATCTTTCACATTGTAATTTTTAATGGCTCCAATTCAGCAGACTGTTGGATGTTCCTTATTGACCAGCTGCAGGTTCCGTACCAGAGGAGTAATTCATCTAGACAGCTTTTGAACTTTGTCTCCTAACTCTAAGAAATTGCTACTGTGCAATGCAAGACACTTCCCTCCATTCGGCCTTTACTGCATTGTTATGCTTGCTATAGCTGTGAAAAGCTTTGGACCTGTATCTGAAAATTTGCTTGAAGTTTGTGCAAATACAATTTTTCCTTTATTTTACATGTTAGTCATATTTTTATCAAAATATATATTTAAATAATCAAGGTCAACACCCAGATGTGTCTTGGAATACTCAAAGTCAGTTATTGGGCTTTTTTTAATCATTCTTCTGAACATTGTTTTCCATGAAGACTGTTTTATCACAAATGTCCCAAGTCTATTCCCTGAAAGGAAAGTTTGAATTGTTTTTTTTAACTGACTGAACTGCTGATTGTTTTGAGTACTAGCTTTGAGTACCAGCAAATTAGTATATTCATAAAACAGGTCAGTAGAGCTGAGCTTATACCAGTCACTGATGATATACTTGGACCACAAAGGCCACTCCACATCCAGCTGTTCTGTGGCCTCAAACACAGATTAAATAATAATTAAAAAAAAAAAAAAATCCACAACCCCAAGCCCCACACTTTGTCATGTCAAAAAAACACACAAAAGAATGACATAGGAGCACAGAAAAAAAGAAATGCCACCTTTTCAAAACATTTAGGTGTTATTATTTTGTTCAAATTTGCATCCTGATTACAGAGTAGTTAAGAATCCTACATTTATATATGCCATTAATAGATTAGCTTCTGTTCATCAGCAAGAGAGGCTGCAGTATTACCTCCAACCTACTTCCTTTACACTTCAATTCAACAGAGCACTTGCTTAAATTAAATGCATACTTACTTGTCACTGACCTCCATCAAATATGTGCTTAATTGCAATTTCTGAATAGCCATCTTTTCAGAAGCTGTGGCCTTAATTTTTTGCTGTAAGCAATGCAATATCCTCCTCGTGCTCTGAAAACTAAAGTAACAAAACATTCCAAACACTTGGAGTTCTGAAATCCTGTATCTGAATTGAAAATTCTGGCTTGAGCCCCTTTATATATAAACAGTTAATTTCATAGTTGGTGCATCACTGGTCAGGAAATACAGGAACTCCTATATTCCTTACACTTCTTAATTTATTTGCTCAGTGTAACATTTAATGAATGGGACCTATGGAAAAGTCTGTGCTGTATTTCTAACCAAACCTTTTCTCCTGGTTGTCCTAGGTTTCCAGCTCGGCCTGGATCTCCGATCTTTCCTTCACAACCTGGTGACCCTCTGCCTCCTGCAAGTCCTTTATCTCCTGCAAAAGGAATTAAATGACAGTACAGATGCTATGGTTATCACCTTATTTTACAAATGGGTATTTGTATGGATGCAGTTATGAGCCTCTGACACTGAAGTAGCTTACATGAGCTGAAGACAGCATCTTGATTTCAGAGTTGATGTGACACACTGTATCTTGTTCCTTACATATTCACTCAATGTTGACTCTAACACTGCTTGGTTACTTACTTCAAATCAGTTATTTAACATGTAATTTTTTTTAAAGTGAAGCTATGCTGATGTCAGTTCCCTACTGTTTTCTTTAACAAGCAGCTTGGTAGTAGTTTTAGTATTTGAGCTTTCTTCCCCTCCCCACCCCTGGCCCCTATGGGGATTATAAGAATAGTTCTTAATATTTTTAGTATCCAAAGAGGGGTATGACTTTGCATGAGGAATGGCCAAATTCGCAGTATTCAAAATGCTTTCTACTATCTGCACATTAGAGCAGGTATTGCATTGTACGTAATCAAAACTGATTAAAAATAAAGCACTGACACTTATACAGCTCTGTCTCTGTAACATATATCCAGGTAAAGAGAATCCATCTGAAGTAAGCGTGGCACTCAGATGAACTGCACCTGTTTGGGCAGTATTGCAGGAAGCATCAATTCTTTTAAAATATTTTCCTACTGCCAGCTTTGATACCTGATTCTCTGAAATACTTCAAAAAATTTCAAACTTGCAATTTATAAGCCTGAAGGCAGTAAATTACAAGAGTGCTAAACACTTGCCTGTCTGACTAATGTTCATTGATTTTTTTTTTTTAACTTGTTGATTGTTTTTAGTGTGGAGTAAAAAAAAAATAGTTATTTTTGGGGGTTTGTTTTTTTCTTTTTTTTTTTTTTGAAGATCAAAAATTGTATTTTACCTTTTGGACCTGGGTTTCCAGGAAATCCAAGCCCTGGAACACCTGTGTCACCTGTTGGCCCTGGATGTCCTGAATCACCTGGCTGACCTCTTGCTCCAACCCTACCTGTACAAAGAAAGTAAGTAAACTGTGATGTATCTACCACAGAACATCAACTTGTAAGATTAGGTGTTTTATAGTTTATCATTATTAATTAGGACACCACTGTAGATTATATTAGAACTTAGACACTATTTCTCCTCCACAGCAGGTTTTCACAGTTAAAATGCTAATTGTGTTCACAGTATCAAAGCAGTCATGAGTCTGTGACTTAAGTTTTTATGCAATCTGCCCAAATTCCAGACTTCTAGGAACAAATACATGCAGATGCAAATCTTCCACTTTTTGAGAATATACAAACACACAGGGGTGAGTCTTGGAACAGAAACAACTATAAAACCAGAAGCTACCATAAAGCTGCCAAGAAATTTTCCTATGCTATTCCGGGCAGCTTCAAGGACTATTGTTCTACAACACTGGAGCAAAGATGCCTGTCCTGGTTTCAGCAGGGATAGAATTAATTTTCTTCCTAATAGTTGGTATAGTGCTGTGTTTTGGATTTAGTATGAGAATAATGTTAATAACACACTGATGTTTTAGTTGTTGCTAAGTAGTGTTTACGCTGGTCAAGGACTTTTCAGCTTCCCATGCTCTGCCAGGTGCACAAGAAGCTGGGAGGGAGCATAACCAGGAGAGCTAACCCAACTGGCCAACAGGGTATTCCATACCATATGACGTCATGCTCAGCATATAAAGCTGGGGGAAGAAGGAAAAAGGGGGGGACGTTCGGAGTGATGGCGTTTGTCTTCCTAGGTAACCGTTACGCGTGATGGAGCCCTGCTTTCCCGGAGATGGCTGAACACCTGCCTGCCGATGGGAAGTAGTGAATGAATTCCTTGTTTTGCTTTACTTGTGTGCGTGGCTTTTGCTTTACCTATGAAACTGTCTTTACCTCAACCCACGAGTTTTCTCACTTTTACCCTTCCGATTCTCTCCCCATCCCACCAGGGGGAGTGAGCAAGTGGCTGCATCGTGCTTAGTTGCTGGCTGGGGTTAAACCACGACGATGCCTTACGGTTAGCCTGAATGTCACTTACTGTCCTTCAGTGCATTCAAAAATTCTGCAAAATTTAAAACACCAGCAACCAAAAAAACCCCACCTAGAACTCAAGCCCAAAACTCACCCAAAAAAGGAAACTCAGGTTCTTAATATCTTAGAACAATGGTTAGTAACAGTCACATCAAAAAGGAACTGGGAAACTTAGTAATACAGTTACTTTTTTGACTGTGCCCCTGCAAAAGCATGACAAGAGCCAAGGGCTTCAGGAAGATTAAGAATGCTTTAATCTAATTTTGTTCCTTCTGTTTTGAAGGTTGCAGCAGTCCCAGGATAATTTAGGACAGGCTTTTGTCAAAATTATGCCAGAGGCACCTTTCTGGATATACAAGACGTTTCTGGTTTTGGAGGAACCAAGTCATAGCATAGGACTGCTTGGAATCTCTGCCATATTGCACACCATTGACATGGACCTGTGTGCCCTTCCTATTCACATCCACATCCCCTAGTTTTCTTGAAAGGGAATGTTACAGCTAATTCCATAGTTTCTGTACCACAGAAATCCTTTTTATAGTTACTTCAAAGTAACCCAACAGTGGCCAGAGCTGGGAGAGAAATCCCAATCCGATTATCTCTGGTTTTTACTGTATTTAGTGCAGATGTACTCACCAGGCACTCCTGGGGGTCCAGGTAAACCATCTGGTCCTTGAGGTCCTGGCAACGCAGGTAATGGAGTTACCCTACTGGTCTCTCCTTTCAGACCTTCAGCAAATACATAATCAAAGATACCAAAGGCTTACAGTTTGGCAATATGCAATCTTAAGCATTTAAAAATACCCTCATAGGGTCCCTTCCAACCTCCATTATCTTATGACCCTAAGACTTTTGCTATTATCTCCAGCAGGACCAAACTTGGAACAACACTGTGGAAATCTCATCCCAAGAAAAATTTCCTATGTTTCACAAATTATGTCTTTGACTTAAATCTATCTCTGCAATTTCAATTAAGTGCTCTTTACCATAGGTAAAACATGGTAAAATAGGAAATTACAAACCAACTTCTCCAGGTAATCCAGGTGGACCAGGTATTCCTTTAGAGCCTTTGAAACCTCTTATTCCTTGTGGTCCATATCCTGGCAGTCCAGGAGGCCCCATCTCTCCAGGAAGACCAAGATTGCCAGGCAATCCAGGTAGTCCTCTATCTCCTTTTGAACCAGCCAATCCCTATGAATGATTACATATGTGTGTATACCAAGCATTACTTTCTTTCCACACCAGCTTTCATAACAAAATGCCCGATTCTCTGTCTGATTATAATCTTGCATTACTTTAGCAGCAGAGTAGCTCTGCCAATTTAAGAGGAATTTTTCCTCTGATTTACTTGTGATTAAAGGAATATAAATTTTAATATCAATGGTTCAAACAGAGGGCTATTAAGAGTGAAATAGTACAAATAAATTCAACAGCTTGATTTTTCAATCGCTGTGGGATTAGACTGTAAACTTTTTTTCTTTTTAAAACAGGTTTGGTAAAAAAGAAAAACTCAGTTCTGATTCTCCTTGAAAACTGTCGAGCCAGGTTTACATAGTTATATCTGAATCACTTTTACAGTTTCTCAGCCAACACAACACAACAATAATTGTTACTTTTTGTTTCTGCTGAACAAAGATCTGCCCTAACAATTCTAGTTTTATGGTCAGTCCTCACAGCTTTTGTGGTTTCTCTCAGCCCTGACTGAAGATTAACTCCTAAAGACTGAACAGAATTATTTGATTTATTATTTCCTTTTAAGCATTATAAGTAATCAGGAAAACTGTTTCTTTTTTTTTTTTTAATCTTATTCATCATAGGAATTCAAGATAACGCTCTAATATAAATATCCAAACTAACATCACAATAGACTGCCAAGGTTTTTGAGCAACATGTATCTACACTAGCCTCATCTCTCTGGTATTACATGCAGTAAAAGTATCTGAATAGGTAAAACAGACTGTTGTACAAGATATAAATAGTGACTTAGGTTTCATAAATTCCGTATTAATTGCAAACAGTGCATACCCACCTCTTCACCTTTAGAACCCTTGGATCCTTTAGAGCCAGGTCTTCCCAGAAATCCATCTGAACCTTTTCTTCCTTTGTCTCCCCTGGCCCCTGGATCTCCTCGGCCACCTTTTGGCCCTTCTGGATACACATATCCTGGCTCACCTTTTGATCCTTTATGTCCTTGATCTCCTCTAAAACCTGGAGGTCCCTGGAACAAAGCAATCAAAAGTATTTCAGTGCTAGACATATGTCAACTGTTTTCAAGCTTTCTTTTTTTAAATTAAATACCTGAGAGTGGTTCTCTTTATTCTCATCTTTATTCGCTGTAATGGCACACCTCAATGAACAGGTTTTTTAGGGGTTTTTTTGTTTTTCTTTTTTCTCCTGCCTTTACTCTTTTTTCGCCCTGATTATAATTTTATTTATACTATTTCTTTATCCTTTATTTATAATT